GATGAATTATGTCAGTATTCATTAAATTATGAAAACATAATGCCATGGCCAAAGGGTCAGTAATGCAGTTTTTTCACGTCCACAATACATCACGGACTATAATCCTGATTGACAGAATTGTAAATACAGGATATATCCACGTTTCAGCTTTTCTAGCATAAAAATGATTAACCAATACCAATCACACATACCAGCATTTTATATAAATTTATAGCAACTGCACAGAGGAGCAAATCAATGTTGTATGTTTGTTCTTTGGATGCTTATTTTGCTATTTCTATTTGTTCTGCGAAGTCGACTATTTGTACTTGGATGATCTACAATAACAGTGGATTTCATACGAGATAACGATAAGCTATGTACATGCACACGCAGGGCCGCCATCAGAAATTTTAGAGGCCCCAAGCTCAGCTCAGGGTCTTAGCCCCCGGGGGCCTGCCTCCAAGCCCGCCCACAGGGACCGTTTCCAAATCCCACCCACAGGAATACACACACAGACACAAACACATGCACTGATCCAAAAGGACACAGGTACACACACACAAAGACACATACATACTAACAGACACACATAGTGAAACAGACATACACACATATAGGCATACATACTGACACATACACACATATACAGACACACAGACATACATAATGGCACACAGACACATACTTACATACATACAGACACTGACATACATACACACAAACAAACATACAGATAGATACATACATACAGAAATACATTCATACAGACATACTTACATGTAAACTTGGAGGAAGAAGGACACAGGTAACCCTCCGTGACCAAACAGGTGAGTTGTATTGGTGGGATCACCACTTCACAAAATTGCGACATTTCGGCATGATTAAGGCATGATTAAGGCTCTGTTGAGCCAAAATGTCACAATTTTGTGAAGTGGTGATCCCACCAATAAAACTCACCTGTTTGGTCACGGAAGGTCGCCTGTGTCCTTCTTCCTTCAAGTTTACATTGGTGGATTCAGCGGTGTCCAAAAATGTTTTGGCCTATGGGGTAAGTACAAATAAATGTTTTTTTTTTGCCATACATAAATTGCATAGATCTCTGTTTGGATGTCCCTAATCTCAATACGCAGACAATATAAGAATGTTATAGTTGGAGGTTGGTTTATTTACAAAGTGTAACAGCGGATAGTCCTGCATTCTCCATAAATATCCCCCACACAACATGACGGAATATTCACAAACATTTGTTCATTTCCACATGACGGACATAGTTTTCTGTGACTTTATTGACATCAATACAAGATAAGGTTTGGAAATTGTACTTCACTGAGTCCGCTAAGCAAAACTCTGGTGTTGCACAGTCAGTCACAGTCACGGTAGGACAATACGACTTGGCACGAAGAACGTACAGTCATACCACTGGATGTTTTATTCACAAAGATGAAAAACAGCTATGTTTAAGGCTCAAAACCGAGCCTTTCTCAAGGTGCTTTGTCATCCAGTCACCTGCAATCACCTCTGCATCATACACAAACTCATATGAGTCTGTCAGCCTAGTCAGCCTCCGATACTGCAGTCTCCTGGGATATAGCCCAGTGGGTCAGTCGAGGCCTGGAGA